AATTAGCCTGCTACTTATATCTCATGTTCTGACATATTTTCATGCATGGAGAAAGTCGCCAGGAGAGTGGTTTTGGCGCCTGGGTGGGCGCAACGTTTGAAATCTTGAATTCTTGATCCTTCATGAATTAAGTATTTTAGTGCTGCTTGATAACTTGCCTCAGCGGGCTGCAAACAGAAATCCTGTTGTGTAAGGTGTAAGCTGACCTATGAATTCTCCTTGTGATAGACCGAGGTTTAAAGTAACCTATCGGTTTTTCAACGTAGTAGAAAATTAAATAATTGGGGACGTCCACAGAACTCCGTTTTGAAAATAAAATCGAGTCCTGGAAAGGTAGGGTTAACAGTCGTGGGCAGCAGGTCTAAGTGACTCCCTTTGACGAGGATAAATATTTCAGCTAACTAACTCAGGCAAAGTTTTGAGTTAATTGTAGGAATATTCCTATATTATAATTCCTGTTTCAGAGCTTCCATCAGAAATCCAGGTATAGGGGAACCTATAGGATTATCCTTCAGTTGCTGAAGACATTAGCTGGCAGAGGAAAAGTAAATTCTTAGATAAATTTCAAGCAATTGAAGTAAAGCATGGGCAGACTGACCGGTGACGTGCGCCCGAAGTAGTTCTCCGGTGTATTGTCTTGCTAAATCTAGAGGATTTGAGGTGAAGAGCGAGACCACATCGAATAAAGGCCATGTCTCCTCCGCTGCAAAGTTGACGCCTTCTAATTTGCCTAGAAACCCTCATAAAATATCAATCGAGCATTGGAAGTTTTTTATAGATGATGCAGTTGCGTGTATATTTATGTAAATGATCCCATAATCGTTCAATGCAGGTGTTATATAGCTCTAAGACATGCGTTTTGTCGAGCATCCGCGACGCAACTAGGAGGGTATCGGCTGCTCAGTGAGCCCACATCTTTCCCAGATATTAATGTGAAATAGGCATATCAGCATGACATATACACTATATCTGTTTATATAAGTCACAAGCGTATTAGCATATCCAACCCTCGTCTACGAGAAGAATTTAATGGCTATTGTTGCCCAATGGCCTGACGCGAGACGGACTGGAGAAGTGGAATTTGCGGTGTAGTCACTGTCTATCCGACAGCCTACGGGCTCTTTGTCGTTAGTATGTTTCAGTAAGGCATTATCTTGTCGTCAGCGGCTGAGGCAATATTTTTCCTTATCCGATATTACAACCAGAAATGTGATTTCATTTATGATTTATGCATAATTTACTTTGCCTGGTCAATTTTATACACTGAATACTGCCCTGTGAACTGCGCAGTTTATCTTGCTGCGCATGATCAGTTTCTGTTTGGGCCTACCAAAGTACACTTGGGCAATCGCCACATGACTAACGATCAGTCACATGAAGATGACTTTCAGTAGGTTATGGAAAACTGATAACGCATACTACGCATATGAAAAAGAGAAAAGTATATAATCTAATACTTTCTGTTTTCCAAATAGGAAGGACAAAATTCATCTCAATAGCATATTTTGCCGGCAGATGTATAAGCGCTGACAAATATTTCTAGTTATTTTATTCTCGATTTTTCCCTCCGCATTTTTATATTGTGGTTGTGATGGTAAAATGTGTAGTAGTTTCCATTGATTGATCGAAGTCCTACACTGGATCCTGCACTCCCAACTGCGCAGTTTGCTTTCCTGCGCATTATCGGTTTCCCTTTGAGCATTACAAAGTGCACTTGTGCAACAACCTCATAACTAATGATCAGTCACATGAAGCTGGCCCTTAGTAGGTCATGGGAAACTGGTTGCGTGAATTCCTTGTGTGTATAAGCAACTATTTTACTGTATTGAGTTTGTACTGATGAGACACTTATCAAGAAACGTTGCAGATATTTTGTGCCTTCATAATCGGTACTATCTGCTTTTCGGAACGGTGCGGCTACATGAACAGCAGCATTGGCTAATCAAACCTCAGGTTCGATGTAAAGAATAATTCGTCTGCCTTATAGCCCTTGTGGAAGACAGAGTAGTCTGAAGATGGATAGCCGATATTACTCGTTGCATCTTCAGACATGCAATATACCCCCTCTTAATAGACATCGCGTTTTCTGACTAAGTTCCAGTATTTTAGCCTGATATCAAAATTAAACCACGCCGTTATTTTTTCTTTCCTTTTAACCAACCCACTGGGTACAACACTGCGATTTAACCTATATTTAGGGTATTTGTGTTTAGCGCTTTGTCGATGGCTGCGCTTCCAGAAGCCTACTTTTATTAAGTTATTACAAACGCTGGTTGAGTGCAACGAAAACGCATGGTTTATAAGAGATGAACGCGGATTCTCCATCTGAAACAATTATCAGAAAATATCATTTGATTTATACTTGAACCTCACTGGAACTATGTCACCATCAAAACCTTCTTCAACAGCATTTAGACGTCAAACGAATTTTCAAAGTACCTTCCATGATGTATATTGTATAAGGGAAGGAAACATTGGTATGATCACTTTTTCCAACCATCACATCGGTAAGTGGTAAAATTTTCTTGCTGGAACTATAGAATCGTGTTTTTAAGTCCAGATCGCTGTGAAAGGGTCTATACAGCTAAATCCACAATTCGACCCTTCAGTAGTAGCGTATGCGAATGCAGCCTTGGACTCTACTTTATTTTTACCTTCAAAATATATGTGGGCTTAATACTGGTCAACATTTTTGTCAAACTCACCGTGGAAAGGCGTTTTATGTCTTCTTCACTGGCTGCCAGGGAAGCCAACCCTATGTCTTGACAGAATTGTGCAACCGTCGGGTCTGCCAACATAGGAACGTGACCAATAAGTTCATGACACACATCTGGTTCGGGAGTATACTCCGGCCTCGATGCATGACGAATGTATTGTGTTGAATGAAAAACTCGAAAAGCCAAACCAGCAAGAAATTCACGGGGAGAAAGCAACCCTGCCACAGGCCGCAATCTAAAACCAGTTTGCTCTTCAAAATAAAAACAGGATGAACGGATTGTGAACATTAATTGACAATATAAAACGCTGATCATATACTGCTTAAACTTACCATGAAGAAAGTTCGAGATATCTTCAAGTTGGGGGATACTATCGCGATTGTATCCACATTTATTAATGAGAAGGGCGAAGCTATCATTAAA